CGCCGCGGCGGCCGCGGACGCCGTCCTCAAGGCCTGGGTCGCGAGCGGGCCCGACGCCGCGGCGGCGGCCGCCGCGGGCGCGGCGCTCGAGCCCCTGGTGGCCTCGGGCTCGGCGCACGCGCTCGCCGCGGTTTTACCGCTGCTGCCGCCGCGGGGCGCCAAGGCGCTGCCGGCGGCGTCCGCCGACGCCGTCGCCGCCGAGCTGTTGCCGCGGCTCGCGCGCGCCGTCGCGGCGGCCCACGAGCAACGCGGCGACGCCGACTTCGTGGCCGCGGGCGCGCAGGCGCTCGTCGTCGCCGCCGTTTCCGCGCGCGAGCCGGCGCGCCGCGCGCCGCTCCTCGCGGGGCTCGTCTCGACGGCGCTCGCGCCGCTCCTCGCCGCCGACGCGGGCGGCGTCGCCGAGCTCCTCGTGAAGCTCGCCAAGGGCAACGTCGACCTCTTCCGCGGCGCCGTCGCCGCGCTCGCGCCGGCCGACGTCGCGCTCGTCCAGGCCGCGATGGGCAAGGCGATCAAGCGCGCCGCGGCGCCGCCGACGCGCCTCGCGCCGCCGCCCCGGGCGTCGCCGGGGGGCGGCGGGCTCAAGCTCAACATGAGCCAGTACCGGTAACATCCCGAATAGCTTCAACACTACGTCAATGTGCACGACAACATGTCGGACGTGCCTTCTCGGCGAGCGGCCCCGTGCAAATTTCGAGCGGCTTCGCGCGCGTCGAGGTGGGCGCCGATCTTCCACCGCCATCCAGACGAGGTGGGCGCCAACGATCCACCGCTATAGCTGGGTGCATCGCATCCCTGGAGCATTTTCGAAGCGTTCGAAGGATGCGGCGCGCCGGCCGCTGGGTCCGCGCCGGCTGCGTTCTGGCAGCCTGCGCGCACGCCTTCGTCGCGCCGCGCCTCGCGCCGCCGCGTCACCGCCAAACGCCGAAGAGTCGAGAAAGCACGGAGCTCCAGGCCCTGTGGATGGGGGTGATCCCCGTCATCGCCTACGTGACCACGGACGTGACGGTGGGGGTCCGCAAGGTCCGCAAGCGCCGCGCGAGGCAACGGCAGGCGGCGCTCGACGCGGCCGTCGCGTCCGCGCGGGAGGAGGCGCTCGCCGAGGGCCAGCAGCGCCTCGAGGCCGCCATGAAGGAGGCCGAGGCGACGAGGTGGGCCGCCGTCACCACGGTCAAGGCCGAGGCGGCCGAGGCGAAGCAGCGGGCGCTCTCGCAGGCGAGCGACGCGTCGAAGCGGGCGCTCGCCATGGCCTCGGCGCAGGCGGCGGCGGCGCGGGAGCAGGCGCTCGCGAGCCTCTCGGCGACGAAAGAGGCCGAGGCGCGCGCGCTCGAGGCCGAGGTCGAGGCCGCGCGCGAGGTCGCGGAACTCGAGAAGGCGGCCGCGGCCGAGGCCGCGAGCTCCGCGCGGACTTCGCTCGAGAGCCTCCAGGCGGACCTCGCGGCGGCCGAGAAGGAGCGCGACGCGGCGCAGGACCGCGCCGACGGCTTCGAGACGGAGCGCGAGGCGCTCAAGGACCAGATCTGGGCGCTCGACGCCGAGTTCGAGGAGTCGACGGTCGCGCTCAACGAGAAGTTCGAGGCGGACCTCGCGGACCGCGTCCAGCAGGCCAAGGAGAAGGCGGAGGCGCGCGGCGAGGCGGCGACGACCCGCGCCCTCGCGGGCCTGCGGGACGAGATGGAGGCGTCCTACGCCGCGGACCGCGCCGCGGCGAAGGAGGCCTACGACGCCAAGATGGGGGAGCTCGAGGTGTCGCTGGCCGCGACGACCGCGGACCTCGACGCGACGAAAGAGGCAGTGGAGACGGAGCGCGTGCGCGCGGACGCGGCGACGCGCGACCTCGAGGGCGCGACGGAGTCGAAGCAGCGCTGGGAGCAGCTCGCGACGGCCGCGGAGCGCCGCATCAACGCGCAGCGCGAGCTCGCGGATCGCGCGCGAGAGATCGCCTCGGCGATGAGCGTGGGCGACACCGAGGAGGCGGCGGCCGCCGCCGCATCGCAGCCCGCGGTGCTCCGGAGCCTCGCCGAGGCCGCGTCCGCGCCGCTCCCGGACGTGCAGACGTGGCGCGAGTTCGAGTCCCCGCCGGAGGACGACGTCGGCGTCGGCGCGCCCCTCTTCGGCGAGAAGAAGGCGAAGCGCGAGGCACTAGAGGCCGCCGCCGCGCCGCCGGACCTCGACGACGCGCCGGAACTTGCGCCGGAGGCGCCGAAGAAGGCCGCAACCGGGCTCCAGACGAGCCCGACGGCCCCGAAGCCGAAGCCGCGCGTCACACTGAAAAAAACGGACGACGAGGCGCGCGACGAAAGTCACGACGAAGCCGCGTAATCTATCGTGTCGGGACTGCTCGTTTGGAGGGGGTGGTGAAGTAGTGGCCGTTGCTGCAGGCGTGTGGACCAACTCGGACTTGCTCGGGACTCGTTGAAGATCTCGTTGAAGTGGTTGAGCCAAAGTTTGCTTGCTCTCGCGCCAAATCGCCTCTCAAGCTCGACCTCGACCACTGCTTTGCGCGCGCACGATGGAAGTAGAAGTTCCTGTGATGGCTCCGTCCGAAGAGATCGTCGCCGTGCACGAGGCGCCGCCGCCGCCGGCGCCGATGGCGAGCGCGGGCGCGGCGCTGCCGGACAAGGCGCTGGATACCTCGCCGTCGCCGTCGCCGCCGCCCACGACGCCGACGCCCCCGGCGGCCGCCGCGCCGCTCTTCCGCAAGGGCCAGAGCGTCTGGTACGCGTCGACGCCCAAGACGTCGCACGACGCGCTCGTGCTCGAGGACGCGGCCGCCGGCGCGGCGACGGTGCGCATCCGCTTCAATACGAATCGCTTCGTCGAGGACGTGCCCGTGGCCCGGGTGTCGGACATCACCGCCGGGCGGTCGCGGCGGCGCGCGGCCGCGGCCGCGCCGCCGCCGCCGCCGCCGCCGGCGGCGCCGACGGCGGAGAAGCGGCCGCGGAAGCGGCGCGCGGCCGAGAAGCCCGCCGCCGCGGCGCCGAAGAAGTCGCGCGGCGGCGGCGGCGCGCGCGCGGCCGCGGCGCCCAAGAAGTCGCGCGGCGGCGGCGCGCGCAAGGCCGAGGCGCCGAAGAAGTCGCGCAGCGGCGCGCGCAAGCCCCGGGCCGCCGAGGCCGCGAAACCGCCCCCGGCCGCGGCGTCCGAGAAGGCGTCCAAGCAGGCCGCCGCCGCGGCGGCGCCGCCGCCGCCCGCGGGCGGCGACGACGACTGGCTCGTCGAGGGGAGCCCCTGGATCGGCACGCGGCTCATGCGCACCGTCTTCGACTTCGACGCGCACGCGGCGGCGACGAAGGCCGACGTCGCCTTCGAGCCGCAGAGCCTCGCGTCGCGGGAGGGCCGCGCGGGCGGCGCGCGCAAGGTCGCCGTGGACCAGTGCGCCTGCGTCGTCGTCGGCTGGCTGCCCGCGGACCGGTCCGACTTCCTCGACGACGACGGCTTCCCCGCGGCCTTGTATCGCGTCCGCTACGAGGACGCGGAGCTCGCGGGCGACGTGGAAGACCTCGAGGAGCACGAGCTCGAGGAGTGCCAGGGCCAGCCCAAGGACGTCGACGAATTGGAGGCGGGCGCCGCCGCGGACTACGACGCCGTGCTCGCGGCGCTCCGGACCGTCGACGTGACGGTATTAACGCCGGACCTGCGGCGGAACGTGCGGCTCCACGAGCGCCAGGAGGTGCGGTCCATCCCCATCGGCGCCATCGGCCGCGGCGCGGGCGGCACGGGCGTGCGCGTCTCCGAGGAGACGCGCGACCGGCCGCGGCTCGCGCGGCTGCTGGCCGCCTACGGGCGCGCCGTGCTCCCGGAGAGCTTCCTCTTCACGTCGATCCAGGTCAACGCGAACTACCGGTCCGCGATGCACTGCGACGGCGGCAACGTCGGCGCGTCGGCGATCTGCGCCTTTGGGGACTTTACCGGCGGCAACCTCTGGACCCACGACCGCGGGCTGCTGCGGGTCGACGGCGACGGCCGGGGCGCGCCGCGCTACTTCAACGGCAACATGCCGCACATGACCATGCCCTTCGACGGCGAGCGCTACAGCCTCATCTACTTCTGCTGCGGCAACTGGGGCTCGTTGAGCCGGGCCGACGAGGCCGCGCTCTGCGACATGGGCTTCCGGTTCCCCCGGCGGCCCGCGTCGCCGCACTGCGGCCCGTCGCCGCCGCGCGACGACAGGTCCTACGAGCGCCACAAGTTCCCGACGCCGAAGAAGGCCTTCGAGTACGAGTACGGCTTCCAGATCCACGAGGACCACATCATCGAGGCCGCGCTCACGAACTACTCGCTCTGGCGCGACCGCTTCCGCGTCGGCGACTCCGCGCGCGACGCGGCGACGCTCGACCGCGCCTGCGCGCTCCAGCGCCGCGGGCCGGGCGCCGACGTCTCCGACGTCGTCCCGGGGCTGGTGTTGGGCGCGAACGCGCGCCTCGCCTGGGACTGCTTCGCCGGCGAGGGCGCGCGGAACATGGCCTGCGCGGCCGTCGGCTGGCGCCACCTCAAGCAGCCGCTCGGCGGCTGCGTGCTCTACTGCGAGCGGCGGCCGCGGTCCGAGGCCTTCGTCTTCGGCGTCTTCTACGACGACGGCGACTTCGAGGAGCTCTCGCTGTCGGAGCTCGCGGGCCGGGGGCCGCCGGCGCCCTACGTCGTCTACGAGGGCGAGAAGACGAACTACGTCGAGGTCACGGGGCTGCCGCCGCCGAGCGTCGCGACGCTCGGCGACGTCGTCGACGCGCCCGCGCTCGCGCGGAAGGCGCTCGCGGCCGCCGCGCCCGCCGACGACGACGCGGACCGCCAGCGCGCGGGCAAGGTCCGCTTTCCCGGCGGCGAGCTCGCGGGCTCGAACCCGCGCCGCGTGTCCAAGGTCGTCGGCGGCCACCACATGGCCGCGCTGGGCCTCCTGCCGCCCGCGCCCGCGCCCGTGCCGGACAAGTGGCTCTCGGCGGAGTAAGCTGCGTAGGAGCTTGCGACCGCCTACGAGACATTGTTGAACTTCAAGTTGAGGGAAACCATTTTGCAGCGGTGCATTGGGCAGCATCACGAGAGCATTCAAGACATGGACCCCCAAAGCGTCGCGCCGGAGGAAGGTGGCGGCAGTCGCGGGTCGCCGCCGCAGCCTGCCGTAGTGCAAGGGACCATCGTGGAGGCGGACGAATTGAGGAAGCTCGCCGACCTGAAGCAACAGGGCTTACTCACAGACGAGGAGTTCTCGACGGCCAAGGCCAAGCTTCTGGCGCGCATGGCGCCGCCGGCCCAGGTGGCGCCGCCCAAGGCGCCCTTCTCCGACCACTTTTACTGGCCTGATGGGAACGGTGTGCCCAGGAGACCTGTGCCCAAGAGATTCGTAGTGTCAATCTATTCGACGCAGTCGCAGTACCTCACCAACGACCACTTTGGGCAGAGTCGGTCGCCAGTTCCGTGGACGATAGAAATCGTCAAGTGGTCCTTGCTCAACGGGAGACACACGGTGCGCCTCCAGGGAGGCAACGGCCTATATTAGCGGTCCGACGGGCACGAGGGCAGCCCGCCCGCTTGGACCACGGAGCCCGACAGGACCACGGAGTGGCACCTGCTCTTTCATGGCGTCGGACCGAAGGGGCGCGGCGAGTGGTTACTGAAAGACGAAGCGTTGCCGGTGCAGCTCAAGTCGCCGTCGAACGGCGGCGGCGAGATGTACCTGTGCAACGACCTTCCGACCGGGGGCTGGGGCGGATCTGTCAAAGGCAAATATTCATGGTGTCCCGAAGGGCGCGGCGATGCGTTCTGGCATTTGAGCGCCTGGAGGGAGGAAGACGGCGACGCGCACTTCCTGCCCTGCGCGGCCTTCGCTGGCTCGCGGCCCGGCTTCACCTTCTTAAACGGCGCCAAGGGCCTCGGCTACTACCGCGAAACATGGCCGGGCGCGGCGGCCATGGAGCGCGGCGACCTCATCTCGCCCGGCGACCTGCCGGGAACGGCCGTGTCCCTCGACGCCGCCGGCAAGCCCTTCTGCGCGGGGCAGAGCTGCTGGTGCGGGATTGTTCTATGCTTGCCGTGGTGCGGAACCCTCCGCGCGGTCGACGCGGACACGTGCTTCCCGCGGCGTCCGCTCGCCGCGCGTCGCGGCGACCCCCGACTCGCCAGGTACGCCCGCGACTTCCAGTGCTGCCTCGTCGTACCTGTCTGCGGGCGCGAATATCGGCGCGCGCCGGGCGGCAATCGCTTCGTCTGGACGGGTACGGCCAACCCCGAAGAAGACTGGGAGCATTTCAACAGCACGTACTTCGCGACGGCCGCGCCGGGGGGCTGTGCGTGGGTCTTTCGGGTTTGCTAAGGTAGTCCGAGAGTCTCG